CATTTTTATCTGGACCTGGATTAAGTTCAATATTTCCAATGACTAAAAGAATATTAAACAGAAGTCTTAAATGTTGTTTTYGACTGGTTAAAACAGAGTCTGTTATATCCGTGCCTTTAGCACTAATGTCTTTTGTCCACTGATGAAAAACAGTAACATAGGCCGAAATTACTACCCAATCAGGTGAGGTTCTGAAGCCAGTCAGTAGCTTGCAATACCATTCCTTTTCTAACTGTTATCTATTATCGCCATTAGCCTGACATGCGTGTTTTAAAGTGCACAGCTCCATGTCTCGGTCAAATTCCACAAAAAATACAGCAACAAATATTGGAGTTAGAATTTGTGGTCATCGTGGCAACAGATGATCTTTTTCAACAAACCCCAAATCCACCACGAGGTGAACAAAATAAACAAACAAGACAGAAATAGAAGAGCTGAACGGGACAGAAACTTCTTACCTGGTCCCTCTGGATGCATGGCAAAGAAGTCCGACGATGGGACTTACTGCTGGACTGACTGTGTGCCATGTCGGAGGCGATAACCGAACTGGACCTCCTGCGCCTTTTAAATACAGGGATCTCTTCCCTGGCTCCTGTCACGGGGGTGCAGCCCTCCTCGCGCGTCCCTTGTTTGGGAAGGAGCCTGTCAGCATACCTCGCCAGCAGGATGCCCAGCACTCCGAGCAGGTACGCCACGTACGGTCTCCACGCGGCGCGCACTCTGTGCAGCGAGAGGAGCGACACGGTCCGGACCAGGCTGATGAAAACGATCACCGACGTGCCCCGGTTCAGCCGCGCTACCATGAGGGCGCCAGCGGCCACGCAGACGAGCACGACCACGGCCGCGGCGGTGGCCGAGAGCAGCTGCTCGTCCGTCCCGTCCAGCAGGGACCAGGCGGCGACTTCGCCCAAGTGGCACAAGGTCAGCAGGGAGAGCACGGTCTGGATCAGCGCCCCGCAGCGGATCAGATACACGCCGACCCAGAAAAAGGCACATACGAGCGTGAAGAGCGGCGAGAGCGCACCCCAGCAAGTTTGCAACAGCTCCGCTGCGCAGCCTGAAACAAAGTGAAGGGGGGAAGATGAAAGAGAGAATGTGTGTTCAGCTCTGCTGCTGCTGCTGCTGCTGCTGCTGCTGCTGCTGCTGCTGCTGCTGCTGGCCTCAGCTGCTCTCCACTCTGCACATCTGAGCAGCGCGGCGAGGAAAACACAGAGCGACCCCACACACACCGCACTCCGGAGGCTCTGGGAACTCCATATTTTTGTAAACATCAGCCCAGGCCACGTCTCGCAGTCCCGGCCACGGCACTGTGGGGTGACACGTGTTCTCACATAACCATTGCGATCCGGTGCGCACTGAGCTTTATCACAAGTGCCGCCGCTCGGCGCACGGGTGCTGCGAGCCTCTGCAGACACGGTCATCATCACTCATGGCAGATATGAAGTATGAGGAAGTCTATAATGCATCCATGCGAGTGTTGTTACGGGGCAGGAACGAAATAAGCATTAGTCCTTGAGCGCATTTTGGGGGGAAGCAAAGCGAAAACGCGTCTATCCAATTTACGCATGGAGATGTGCTGCCAGGGAGCACATGGTTCTTTGTTTTTTCCAGATTTAGGATAAAGAGCTGTTGGCCCAAAACGTGTATTTTCAAAAAGAAAGAAAGAAAAAGGAGCCCGGATGACAGATGCTTTACAGATCTGGGGCACGCTTCTCTGCGCTCACACGTCCCGCTTTGCCCCTTCGACGCGCTCCGTCTCATTCACTTCTTCTGTCATTTTCTTTGTGGGCTCCACCACGGCCCGGGGTCCGTACAGCAGCGGCAACACATCTGTCCCTTCCTGCAAGCGTTCAGGCAGAAACCATCTGTGTGCTCGCGCTTTCCCCTGAAATGACACAGTTTTCTTTCTCTACTTCCGAGGATAAAAACGCAACAGAAGGGGATTTAAGCTGCTGGAGGGAGGGTGAGAGCGTCCGCCTGGCTGCTGCGCGGTGTTTTCTGGTAAATCCGGAGCGTTTGTATCCAACCAGCCGCGAGTCTCGAGCTCATTCACACCCCCGAGTTCCTATACTCCACTCAGGGAACAGTGAAACCCCCCAAATCATCCTCAGCAAGTCCCGCAGACGTACTTCTCCATCTGCCTGGGGTTTAGTTTGTCTTGTCTCCTCCATTCTCTGTGAAATGGGATTTGGAGTCAGAAAGCATAATTTTGTAATTCATTAGCAAAAAATAATCGGCAAAAATAGACTTTGCTAATACAATAAACCTGGGATGTAGTGTGAAAAATGAATAAAACAGAATGTGTTTTGAAAATCTCATAATCCCAAGGAATGTAGCAAACATTTACATTATTTAAACTAAGCACTCGTCTATTTTTTTTTTTTGGAAGGAAAAAAAATATTTTAAATTTTATGGCAGCAGCCTAAAAAAACAAGGGATGGGGGCCATGTTTACCACTGTGAAGCCTCTTCTCTTCTTTAGCAACTGTCTGTTGTTAAATCTGGGAACTGAGGAGAACACACTCTAAAAATGAAATGTTGGATTTACTTAACCATGTTATGTGACCTGGTTCGACTTAACTGAGTTGAGTAAAGTCAAAGCAACATGCTCATGTTCTTTGGTTAAAAAACTGGTATATTGCTTTGAATTTACTCAACTCAGTTAAGTGGAACCAGGTCACATAACACGGTTAAGTAAATCCAACATTTCATTTTTTACAGTGCAGCTGCTGGAGGTTTTGAAGAAGAATATTGTCTCAACTAGTCTGATGCAGAATTGTATTTGTTTAACAGTCCAGGATCTTATTTCCCAGATTTCTTTTGTTTTGTTTTTTTCACTTGCTGAGAGGTCTGGACTCTTGCTGTCGTAATGGATGCAGTATATTTAGTATTTTCTTACTGAACAATGCAAGACCATCCCTGAAACGGCTGTCTGTATGGGAGTTTACGTTTGTTCAAAAACTCTTGAATAGTATTTTGTGATGCATTTCCAGATGTGTAAGTTGTCCATGCCCTGTAGGCGTGATTACATCTCCATACTAGCAGAGATGCAGGCTTTTGATGTTGATAACATGCTCCTCCTGAGCATGTTGTCAACGGTGGTGTCTGTGTTTCTAAAATGAATTTCAATTTGTCTGACTACAGAACAGTTTTCCACTTTGTTTTAAATGAGATCCAGTCCAGAGAAGACACTATTGTTCACACCTGGCTTTGTCTTTGCATGATAGAGCTTTATCCAGCATTTGTGGATGGCATGATGAACAGACAATGGGTCCTGAACCCTCACAGTGATGTCTACAGAATCAGGCCTGTTCTTAGTTTAGCACTGCCTGAGAGCCCAGAGATCACTGACCTCGAAACCTGACTTTCAGTTTTGTCCTTTCAGCTCAGAGATTTCTTAGATTCTTTGCATTTTTTTGATGATGAACCCTGAGTAATGAGCTATTCAGAGTATTTTCCATTGAGGGACATCATTCTGTAATTGTTCTCCAAAATGCATATTTTGTTTTATACTGATGAGCCTCTATGTTTATTGTGAAAATTTCAACCTCTCAAAAAAGTTTTTTTGTACTCGTTTTTATTACTGGCCTGTTGCCAATTATCTAATTTGATGCAAAATGCTCCTACAGCTGTTTCTTGTTTGTATCACTTACATACTTTTACAGCAGTTGCCCCTCTACTAACATTTTTCAGATGTGTTGCTGCCCTTAAATGTAAAATTATCTTGTTTTTCATAAAAAAAATTCTTCTTTTGGTTTAAATATTTGATAGGTCTATTAAAAATGTGGATTCACGATATTCTATTTTTTCCGATATTGTCTCAGTTGCATTTTAAAATGTCTTTATTTTGAGTGACTCTATAGGGACAAACATGTCATGATTGGATTTGTGGCCTTGGTGCAGATCTTTTTTATTTTTTTATTTTTATTTTTTTGCAAGGGTTTCCAGCTTTCAAACCACATATCCTGCTTTTGACAAAAGCTCACATTCAAATGAAGAAAAACTGTGTAGATGCAAACAAAAGCAAGTTTGCATGAAACCAGTTTGCTTCCTGTGGAAAATCCCAGAATGGGCCGTGGCTGCATGTTTGGTCTCCAACTAAGGATGACCTGTAAGGTCTTCACTTTGGCAGGTCACTGAAATATTCATCTCATCTCACCACTTTAGGTGTCACTGATGATGGCTTGTGTCACAGGGAGGAGTCTGACATCAATGTTTCATCACATGCATTAGTGCATGTGTGTGTGTGTGTGCGTGCGTGCGTGCGTGCGTGCGTGTGTGTGTGTGTATGTGTGTTCCATAGATGTCCTTGTAATGTTCAGTCAGTTACATTTTCAGAAAATGAAAAGACTAAAGGTCCTGTCACATTGTAACATCTTAGCCAACATTCAACTATTATTATTTACTGTGGTGGAGAAAGTACTCAAACACTGTACTTAAGTAAAAGTACAGATGAACAGACAAGAATGTACTCTAGTAAAAGTAAAAGTACCATATTAACATTTTACTAGAGTGAAAGTAAGTAAGTACTTGCTTTTAAAAATACTTAAAGTATTAAAAGTAAAAGTACTTGCTTAATGTATTCCCTAATGATCTACAATATCATGAAGTGTGCCTACAGTATGTATATTTTAATACGTCAATGGTGGCATTTTAGTGAACAATGCTGCAGATRATGCATAGTTTTGTGTTTACACTTTGTGACACTGTTCACACTTGTGATTCTGTGCATCATCACATATTGTGACAACAGCTGCAGAAGATGTAAATTCACCACCAACCTCCTCTATCAAATCTCAAGTCATTTTTTTGAACCAGTTAAATAAGGCCATGAATGGCACATTTCCTCCGTGGTGGAAACCGTTGTGGGCATGCTGATGCTCTGCTTTTTTATGAAGGAGGGTGTAATGGTACGTTCCTGCTTTGTTCAATGGACCAATTACAGCAATTCCCCCTCTCGCAACAAATTATTTTCTAACAAAAAAATCAAATAAACCACAAATAAAATAAAATAAAATAATAATAAATCGACGTGACATGAATGTACTTTGTAATTCAACGCATTACAGAAATGTAGTGGAGTAGAAAGTACAGATACTTAATGTAAAATGTAGTGGAGTAAAAGTCAAAAGTACCCGTGATGAAATCTACTTAAGTAAAGTACAGATACATGAAAAATGTACTTAAGTACAGCAAGAAAGTACTTATTCTTAGTTACATCCCACCGCTGATTATTTACCACTTTGCAAGTACTGCAATTAATTCTGTGTCAGGACATATTTTTCTGTGTGACGACTTCTCACTATCAAGTGAGTCCAATGGCAGAAGGTGGCGCAGAGCAGCTAATGCTAGCAAACAAATCTAGTCAGCTCAGTCGTTGTCTCTTATGAGCAGCAAAGTCAGTGCTGGGAAGCGATAAAGCAGGGCGTGCCGTGTAGCTGTTAAAATGAAGAAGTTAGTTTGACTGACTAGTTCAGTGTCATAGGCATGCGAGTTTTATTGCATTTATTCATTGTCAAATTGTTTGTTGTGGGCTGAATGCCACAATTAACTGTGATATTTTTATTTTCTTTTGCCAAATATTGCCCAACCGTGACTTTGGTTAAAGTTTTTTTTTTAAGTTGCACAAGATTTTTGCCTAAAGTGACTCTAAGCAACTACCACATCAAATGTGAGCTCAGTATTTAACTGAGCTCTAATCATATTTTGTGGTGGTCATCTTCAATTGAAACGACTTCAAAAGGTAATCAAATGTAGATGTTCACCAGTCCTTACATCATAAGATATGCTAACAAATAGCAAAAAATTTTAAACTTGCACAAACTGTATTGCTTGGAATCTGTGATGGGGTCAGACTCAGCTTTAACCACACCGTTTTAACCCAATAACCCCCAAAAATGTAACAATTTCTGGGTTTAATAGGTTCATTTAGCGGAGGGTAGATGTGCATGTGATTGTTCTTTTATAAAAGTTTCATATAAATATCTCCAGTGGTTCATGAGGTATTTTGCTAACAGACCAGCACACCAGCCCAGCAAAACATTGGGCCTCATGCAAGAACATGTTTGTATAATTATCCTAAATTTCTCTTTCTTTTGTTCGTACAAAGGGTTCGTACGAACATGTCACGTCAGATTCAACAAACTCTTCTATCTTCAGGAAAAGTGTGTAAATGAGCTGCGTAAATTCCCCTGTTCTATCCAGCTGCTCGTGCACGAGGAGAGGAGATTAGCATAATTACCACCCCAAAAACACCATATAAGGTTATGTTTCCTGCCTCAGATATAGGGAAGTGTCCATTCATTCATGAAAATTACAACGAAAACATAAAAGAAGAACTTTACGAGTTCAGAGATTGAAGTCCGTCTGTCAGAGATCCAGAAAAGAAAATCTGTCATTTTTAGCAGGTCAGCTGTGGAATAAAAAGAGCTGCTAAAAGTATAAACAACTGTGTTAAATCATTTTCATTTATTCAGAAGCCGCAGCGCTGAGCACCGTGCCCCCCTGGTATTACATTTAGCTGTTTTATTTATTTATTTATTTATTTATTTTTTTATTTATTTATTTATTTATTTTACAAAATGTTAAATTTAAATGTTAAAAAAATAAATATTAAATCCTAAATCTAAATATTCAAAATATAAATGTAAAATTTAAACCTTAAACATTGAAGTGAAATGTTGATTTCATTTAGGCACTTTGGAATGGAACGTCATCATTCTGAGACAATCATGAACCGTTTCCCTACAAGGCAACAAACTTGCAGATGCAGTCAGTGTCTGAGCTGCACTTCAAACTGGTGCACCACAGATACCACCCGTATTGTTTTTTTTATGAACACATTTTAAATTTAGATTTTAAATATCTTTAGCTGTGTCAGAATGTTAGCAGAAGTTAGCGTCAGATAACCAGCATGATTTCATCATCCTGCAACAAACAACAAAGACCAATGCTAGCTTCTCCTGAGAGTGAAAAACATGTTAATGAAAAATTTTAACACTTCATTTTTCACTTGGCGTCACATAAACTATACGTTGACTGCCACAAAAACAAAAAGGTATGCACAAATTTTTAAACACAAAGTTGTCCTTTCTTGTATTTTTATTTTAGACAACTTTTCTCTCTTGTTTTCGCAATCCTTTCCTCGTTCTATCCCTTTAATACCTGCACTCCTTCCATCAAACTAAAACTTGTCAGCACGACTCTGTGCCACATCCTGCATTCCCCTCGTCAGCTGTGATTAGCGAGAAGCAGAGGAGAAGACAGTGTGCTAACAGAGAGCGATAGGAGCAGGAGGAGGCCCAGGCCCACAGTGTCCATCACCTCTCAGCACATGTTTACTGAGCGCCCGGCCGTGCATCACAGGAGGACAGACGCCCCCCTCC